GCATCCAGGGCCCAACAGAGCATCCACGGCGCAACCATGATAGCATTGTCTGACTCCTTGGGGGTTGGGGGGCGGGGGGCGCATGGTAACGTCCATGGTCGAATGCATTCTGAGCACAAAGCATCCAGGGCCCAACAGAGCATCCANNCCAACCATGATACCATGGTCTGATGCCTTCTGGCTCTATGGGGGGGGGGCTGATAACGTCCATGGTCCAATGCATTCTGAACACCCAGCATCCAGGGCCCAACAGAGCATCCATGGCTCAACCATGATAATTACCATGGTCTGATTCATTTAGCATGAAGCTTCGTGCTCGAACACGCAACGGCACCCAGGAAATTGCACGGTTCAACAATGTGAGAGAGGGGTAGGTCCTGCTGTTGGCGGCTTGCTCCGTTTGGCAAGGAGCGTGGCCTCAGTTCGTAAGGCCGAACTACAATCGACTGTAACTTTACATTTACTGTATACTTAAGCTTGTATAATCGAGTGATGCGTTGAGAGTTTAGCCATGCCCGGCCCTTGCGTCCGCAATGTTCCAGGCAACCGTTCCCGAATCACGACTTTTGGTTTCCGAAGGATGCGTCTGGTGTCTGATTCAACCGTTTTGGTGTCCGATTCAGTCGTTCTGGTTTCCGAATCATGGTCTGGTTTCAGAAAAAGTCGGTCTGGTTTCTGATGCGGCCGTTTCGGTTTCCGATCCAGCCGTTTTAGTTTCCGAATCATGGCTGGTTTATGAATCACGGCTGGTTTCTGATTCAGCCGTGCTGGTTTCTGATTCAGCCGTTCTGGTTACTGATTCAGTCGTTCTGGCTACCGATTATTCCGCCGACCAGTGAGGACCTGTTGAACAGCTAGGGGTTGACGTTGTTGCCTTCCAAGGCGGAAATGATCGCACAGCTTGATGCCTGGCACACGGACCTGCAGGCTACAGCTCCAGTTTTGGAACCGTGGCCGCAACATGACACCGTTGGCCGCAGGAGACGTCGGCATATTCGCAGCCCAGAAGATGGGCGTGGCCTACTGAGGAGGACCTTGGCTGCTGCGACCGGTGTGGTGCTCATTCCAGCACATTTGCACATCCGAGGATGTCCATTTACATCTTTCCCATGTTGCCATCGTGCTCCTGGCCAGCTGGCTCCGTGAGGCGTACCGGGGTTGCTGCAAACTGAAGGCCATATCCATGCCACCGCACGGGCTCGCGTGATTTGCCATGCCTGATGCATGAAGACTCTGTCGATGTTGTCTGTGTAGCTCGAAATCTGAGTGCATGCCGGAGAGTCCAATGATGATGAACTTTTGTGGGTGCTTTGGTGGGCAGTGAGTGCATATCGAATCCAAGTTACAGTGCTTTACTTTAAAGTCGACGCAGCCCAGAGCCTGTGTGAGCGTTCCTGACGAGGCCGAAAGGACCTGCGAAAGCATTTCAGAGTCCTGTGCGAACGCTGAAAGTGAGTTCGTAAGAGTTGACGCCTTACCGCACACATGCTCTTGAGCATGATTGAGTTGGCTATCCTGCTGTGTCACCGATCAGACATCGGGGTGCTCTTCGACCGAGGTCTGGCGACGTTCAGCAGACGGCCTGCTTTCAGGACTCTGCCTTCGTCTCAACCGCCTCACCCCAAGCATCTTGACTTAGCGCGGACTGGTCTGTCAGCTTCTAACTTCTAACAGTGGATCGGCCTGCAGATGCTCGCCACCACTCTGCTCAACGATTGCTCGGGGAGGCGCAACCGCCAGATTTGACTAACTCCTGATGCCATTGAAGATGCCACATGCTTGGATGCTCTGCACCGATCTCTAGCATGTTTGCAGAGCTGCATGAATCGCAACAACTTCTTGAACAATGTAGAACAATCTTGAGCACGAATTACGAATACAATGCTGTACTGTCCGTTTGCTCAGACAATCATCCGGCAGAGCTGACTTGGCCTAGACTCTCGGCAGTTTCTTTGGGCGAGAAGTTGCCTGTGCAATTTCCAGTTCAGAAACAACGTGCTCTTCCCCGGGCTGGGATGTTCTGGGCCGTGCTTCGCGAAAGACTGTGCAGGCTCTGCGCTTGGAGAAAGGCTGCCGCTTGCTGTTGGATCGTGTGGTGCCCTGGCTACCTTCAAGGAGGATGTCTCAGCCTGTTTTGCACGCTGGCCGACCGTCGCAGGGATTGCCAAGTTCAGCTGCATTCTCTTGCGCATTCATTCTGACATGAAGCGTCATGGTTGGCAACATAAGATGCATAAGAAGGATTCAATGTCCCCGTTGTCGACATCGTTTCAATATTTGTGACTCAGCATGCAAAAGCATGGACATGTGCGGCTTGCTTGGAGGTATATCTGGGCCCTGAGAAGCACTTCGCAGGGGAAGCCCAGACTGCACAGTGAGTAAACCGGAGGAGAAACCGCGCTTTCCAGCATGTTGTTGCCGACTTGAGCCATTCTTCGAGACGCGATGACGTGCATCAAATGAAGTACTAAGTCTTACTAAGTAATTATTAAGTTGGATCCAAGGCGCTCTGCCTCCGAATCTTTTTGGCTCGAGAGTCCTCTCGCAGAGCAAAGCCGCAGCATATTCAAGGAGCTCTGGATGGCTCTATGCGTCCTAATGGTGACCCAGTGTGTGCGGGATGCTCCAGAGCCTGAAAGACCGTGATGTTGCAGGATGGCCGACAGCGGAGGTTCGACTGGGCGTGGCTCCGCCGCTGCGTCGGTTGGTGGAGTGCGAGCCTTGGCCGATTGACCCTGCGCAGCATTTTGTTCAGATACGACTTCTTTCGTGAGCCTCCCGGATATGCCAAGTCCAGAACGGCTTTGGCGCGGAGGTCCAACGCAAGGTCGGTCCGCCTTTGCACATGACTTTCCGGCAAGATTCGGCCATGAGGCTTTTGCAGTGATTCAGTGCTTCAGCCTCGCTTAATTACAGAGTGCAAGGCAAGCTTGAATGCCTTCCATGTCTCAGCAATTGTGATGATGAATCTTATCACAAAGGCATGACCAATGTTGCAGGCAGTAGGCAGTACCGCAAAGCAACTCTGCCAAGCCACTTGCTTCGTTTGTTCTTTTTAGCAGGGCCGGTGGCGCTACGCAGGGGGCCAACAGCGGGCGTAAAGCTGCGGGAGGCTGTGGAAGCTTTCTGGTCAAGGAGTTGCAACGACGTCACGACACTATGTGGATTACAGAGGAAAGTTGGTGTTTAAGCAACGGCTGAATGGATAGATTTCCTCTTGCCTGGGCTCGGTTGGCGTGTCAGAGCCACCTGGCAGGCGGAATTCTAAAGTTCTACTCTGACGATGCTCCGGGCTTGAAAGTCGGACCTACGACAGTGACCTTGCAGTTTCGACTCGCATGCTTCGTGTTCTTGGGGTGCCTCGAGCTTTCATGCTGACACTTCCTGGCGAAACGCGTGCACAACAGCATTAGATGCATGATCCCGTCGTCATGGGAGCAAGCTTTGGCATCCACCATTTTGCATTGTTATTTGTGTGCCATGTGCCAGCAGGTCCGCTTGCAAACGGGCGTTTTCGGATTCGGACACACAGGTGTTAAGTCTCTGCATACTAGCTTTGCTTCGGGTCTTCACTGCAGGAGGAGCAGGCTGCACCGTTTGCACCGTGCACCTTGTGACTGTGACACGATGTCTGCACACGGCTTGCAGATTCTACATCGGGTACGAGACTGCGGGAGTGCACGGATGTACCACAGCACCACAGCATTCAGACCTCGCCAAGATAACCATCCAGTAAGTTAAGGAACACCACCCAACATCACCTCGGCAGAGACATCCGAATCCAGAAACTGGTTCTCAAAGAATGCTGAATTCACGGTTACGGTGCACATTGGCTTGCGCGTGCATCGCACCTTCGGGATCATACTGCATGCGAGCTGCCTGAATATGGTCGTTGCCCACATCAGAAGAACTTGCGCGTGCTTGCTGATTGGCTGGTGGTTTCCTACATTCAGTGGCCTTTCTGGATCCTTTTGGTGGGTGGGCATGTTGAATCCTGCCTGTACAGTTACGAGGGATACATGCACTCCATTGTGGCCAGATTGTTTTTACGCGAGACACCAGTTTTGTATGACATCATTAGTCAAGAATGTCAGGCCGAAAGAACAATCAAATGGCCTGCCCACTGGACTCGACTCGCACGTGCTGCATGCCAACAGACACAGTCCATGCACACAAATCAGAGTGGGGTGCTGTCTTTGCGTGTCTTTGCAAAGCTGCTTCGCTGCACGTTCCGGACAGAAGCGTAGCATAACGCACCGTGCGCGAAACAAGAAGTTTGGGCACTGCTCTCTGCACCGGGTGACATTGTCTGCCGCTAGAACCATGATGACCACGAGGAAAGGCTTCATTGTAGCCTGACAGATTGACGTCCTAGTGCACTGGGATTTCGATGCTGACTCCTGACCACAGCAAGAGGGCACAATCGAATATGTGCTTGGCCTTTTCTACCACAGTATCTGCGACTTCAGGGCGCCCTCAAAGAAGCCTGCGGTCATTGGTGTACTATTTCGCACCACTTCATGTCGGCTTCAGTGTCCGAAGCTACACACGTTGCTGTCTTTAGGGTTGGCGAATGGAGGTACTCGTGCTCTCCCTTGTCTTCATGGCCATTGTCTGCTCCCTCCACATTCTGGGCAAGTTCCGAAGTGGATAAGCGAAGATAGAAGGCGGGAGTGTCATGGGGGCTGCAGCGAGGATACCGAAGATGGGAGCATCAAGACCCTGTTGTTGGATGCAGGCGCGATGCATCAGGCTGCTTTGGACCAGACGGACGCCATCGGACGCTAATGATTTCACTTCAGCTGCGCTGCCCAGATTTTGAGGAACAGCCACAGGATGTTCTGCCATTGCGCAGAACTGCTGCATAGCGCTGCAGTTAGTTTGTTATCCTTCTTTGGAGGAGAGGCACATAATTGCAAGCCTAACCGTGCCCTGCACACAGACACGTGGCGAACGTCACACGATGAAAATATGATGCTGTTTCCAGGCGGGCTAATGCGGGGGGGGGGGGGGGGGGGTAGGTAGATGCCAACGAATGCTCGCATTCACTCATGCTACTCATGCCGTACGTCCACTGTAGATTATGATGTCACACGACGTTTGCCTCAGGTCAGCATGGTTTTGGTGCTGTTCGGCCTTCGCTTGTAAAAGCACTGAAAGTAGGACGAGGGAGATTCCGGAAGACTTTTGTGCCATTTTCAGCGATGTAGAAATGTAGACGCAGTTGGAGCGGCCGATTCGGCCGAACCTCGCAGAGAGTCAGAGAGTTGTCAAAGTCGCGGCATCCGAGACGTCTGACTCCAACCCCAGCAGCGGTCAAATCTGGTGGGTTGGGGCGTGGGACACAAGCTTGCTTTGGGCAGAGACATAGACAGTTCATACAGTTCAATCCGCCAGGAGCCAGGAAAGCTATGTCTAAATCACCAAATCTAGCTCTGGAGCTTGCAGGAGTTGTCATTTACAATTCACCTGGGAATTATGGAACTCGGTCAAAATTGCGTTCAGTACCTGTCTGGTCCTTTCTCAAGAGTTAAGGGGGCCCCGCTCAAATCCAATAAGAAGCGGTATATAGCAACTTGCATTTTGTCTTTCTGCGGCGGAGTACGTAGCAGGTTCGTAATTAGCTAAACTGCCACCAGGACAGTTCGAAGCTGCTCGTAGATGGCCGAGTTATTGCTTTTGCAGGACATTCCGGAGCGCAATGAGGTCCGTCCGCGTACTACGATACGACAAGGGTGTCTCTGTAGGTGGGCCACTCTAAAGCAGAAGAGCGCCATCATCTTTCGGTTAAGAAGCTTCATGGCAGACATATGTGGTTGCATCCAAGCTGCTCGAGCTCTATCCACTCTGCTTCTTTTCCCGAATGCGTAGCAGAAGGGTTCTCGTTTCAAAGGTTGGGGTCCAGGGGTCCAATCGTTGACCAGGGATCGTCGTTAAAGCGTTCGCAAAGCGTTCGCAAAGCGTTCGCAGAGCGTTGGCAAAGCGTTCGCAAAGCGTTCGCAAAGCGTTCGCAAAGCGTTCGCAAAGCGTTCGCAAAGCGTTCG